AAAAAAAAAAAAAAAAAAAGAATTAGAGGACAGAAATCTGAAAGAAGCCAGAGTTTTCGAAAGAAGGTGGAAAAAATGACTTGGAAGTCCAATGCAAAGAAAGAACAACCTTTGTGTAGGCCCTGATTGTGGATTCCTCTTGTATTCTTCCCTGAGAGTAAGTAGTTAGCAAGTCTTTGAAGCCAGTTTTTGACAGTAACTAGAAACCACATTTATTGAAATGAGGATTTATATAAGGGTACAAACTTTTACACAGATGGGAATTTATACAAGTTCATGAAATGGATTCAGAGACCAGCTTAGAAATGAGTATTAAAGTCTGGCATGATGGTTTACACCTATAATCCCAGCATTTTGAAAGGCCAAGGTGGCAGAATAGCTTGAGCCCAGGCGTTTGAGACCCGCCTGGGCAACACAGGGAGACTCCGGCTCTCTATTTTAAAAAAACTAAAATAAAAAACACAATAGAAATGAATATTAAAAAATTATCCGAGGTCAATGTCTCCTTATATCCCATCTAATCTAGAATAGGTCCTTCTTTGGCTAGCTGAAAACAAAATGTACTTTCTCTTTTTCTCATAAAGATGGGGAACTCACCATGTTGCCCAGAATAGTCTCAAGCTCCTGGGCTCAAGCAATCCACTCATCTTGGCCTCCCAAAGTGCTGGGATTATAGGCATGAGCCACTGTGCCCATCTTACAATGGACCTTCATTTTCCTTCTATATACCTGATACAGACGAGACTTCTCCCTTTGGAAACAGTTTTTATCTTGATACCTAGTTCCTTTTCTAGTTCGTATTTGGCCATCCTCCTAGCCTATTTGCTTTGCAACCATCCCTCTCCCTACCTAGACATACAGGTTCCATTTTGGATATATTATTTGAACCCAGAGCACTTCTGACAATCTTGGATGACACTACTTAGTGTAACAATGATGGCAATTCCAAACTTACTAACAGTCTGCTTTACCAAAGTTTGCTTCCAGCTTGTCACCTGGAACTCAGAAAAGATTGCTCCTCAAAGTGTAAGTGACAGTTAAGTTTCCTAGCTAACCCCACAAACACCACATCCTATTAAGAGAGCTGAGCTATATTAGTAGGTTATTCTGGATATCCATGTATAAAAGAAACATTACTTTGTTCTTATATATCCTAATAAAAATGTCTAAATTGAAGAAGTGGACACTCCACTACCTCATTTTCTGTACGCTTCTTTATTCTCCTTCACCTTCTCCTGTGTTAAGCCCCATATGACTTACTTCCCTACTTTCCAGCCCATTCTGCCCTATCTCTTGCCTCCAAGTACTCCAAGATCCAGAATCAGAGCTGCTTCCTATTTCCCAAAAATCCCCCATATCTCAATTTTTAGTAAATCTTTTCCTTTAATTTAGAAATATAATGTATTTAAGCAACAATATGAATTATCTGTGATCTAAAACATTGCAGTGTGACCAAGCATCTTAATCTAAATAAGCCCTTGGAGAAATTTCAGGCAAAGTATCAAAGGTAAAGTGAAATATTTCAAGCAACAACATTAGAAAAAGTAGTTAATGGGGATGCATGGAATGCATATATATACATGTCAGGGATCATAGCTGCCTGCTTATGGTATTGGTGAATATACGTTGTTCAGAACTTCTTCCTTTACTTCTAAACATACTCAGTGCCCCCACACCACAAGGAATTTTCATAGAAGGCAGCAATAGGAGTTAGACTAATACACAAAAAGAAACTGTACAACCATAGACATATCACATAAAGGTGCAAACTATAAGGTTAGTTTTCCTTAGACTTAATAGATCAGCTCAATCTTTCCACAACTAGGTTAAGTCTTTTTCATAAACTTGAATTACACATACCTTCCCTTTTCTCTTTTAATTTCTTCCGGAAAACTTCAGCCCGGATTTCTTCAAAGGAGAATTCCCCCATTCCTGCATAAATCTTCTCCTTACAATACATCATTTTCTCTTTCTTCTCAGATGCTTGCTGATGGCTCTGAACCCTTTGCAGAGGATCTCCTTCTTCCTTTCCAGGCTTTCTTGTGCTTAGGACGTGGTTTATGCTAGGTTCAATTTTACATGGTGTCCTAAGGAAGCAAAATTACTATTATTCATACAGGTCAAAATTTAAAAATCAGTAAGAGTAATAAAAGAAGCTAAAAATAATTTACAAGGGCTATCAATAATTATGTTCTGTAAATCGGGAGGCATTACATTACCTGAACTCAAACTACACTCTAAGGCCATAGTCACCAAAACAGCTTGATACTGGTATAAAAACTGGCATACAGATCAATAGAACAGAATAGAGAACCCAGAAATAAAGCCAAATACTTACAGTCAATTGATCTTTGACAAAGCAAACAAAAACATACAGTGGGGAAAGATACCCTATTCAACAAATGGTGCTGGGGTAATTGGCTAACCACATGTAGGAGAATAAAATTGGATCCCCCTCTCTCACCTTATACAAAAATCAACTCAAGGTGGATCAAAGACTTAAATCTAGGACCTGAAACCATAAAAATTCTTGAAGATAACATTGGAAAAACCCTTCTAGACATTGGCTTAGGCAAAGACTTCATAACCAAGAACCCAAAAACAAATGCAACAAAAACAAAGATAATTAGATGGGACTAAACTAAACTAAAAAGCTTCTGCACAGCAAGAAA